TGACAGCTGTAGCACAGGTTTTGAGTAAGTGACCACGACAATGTGTCCCTCCCCCAGTAAACAGTCAATAACTTTTAAGGTGTCAGATCGCTATGACCTCAGTATCGAAACTGCAAACACTACCGGTACCTCAAGGTCCAAAGAGTTTAACTGTCAGATCTCGAGCCAAGAAACTCAATCCATAGCCTACTCTTCCGGAGTCTATTGATGTCAATCCATCAATATATGCAAAAATGGCACCGGACGGACGGACATTCCACATAAAACTAATAGCGTCTTTTCCCCTTTCGGGGGTCGCTAAAAACATTAGTAATCAGGGACCTGCTATTTGCTAATGACTGTGTCCTAAATTCCTGCTCTGAAAATGATCTGTAGAGCATCGTCAGTGACTTCTCAAGAGCATGTTCAGACTTTGACCATACCATTAATACAAAAAGATTGCTCCAGGCAAAGCCTACTCGGATCCAAGCATTAAAATAAATGGACATGATATAAATGCAGTGGACAGATTCACCTAATCTTGGCAGCACACTCTCCAGAAACGGAAAGATCGATAATGAAATCGACCTGCGTATCGCCAAGACCAGTGCATCCTATGGCACTGTCTAAAAATGGAACAGACGAATTAGCACCACAAATACAAAGCTAGGGGTCTATCGAGCTGTCATCCTCCCTACTTTGCTCTATGCCTCAGAAACGTGGACAGTGTACAGAAAACATGCAAAAAAAAACAAACTGAACCACTTCCACATGACATGTCTAAGAAAAATACTGAATGTCAAATGACAAGAAAAAATGACAGATACTGGGTCTGCAAAGCATCCACACAATTCTGATGAAGTCCCAGCTGCGATGGGCAGGACACGTCTGCAGAATGGTTTATTTTGATTTGGGAACATCGGCACAATTTAGGCCATGTCGTGCCTGCAGTCCCTCAAGGGACTCTCTTCCTCCACACAACAAGGGCCAAATTCCATACAGTCAAATCATTAAAATCAAGGTCTATTCACAGTTAAAATAGTAGAGGTAATAAAAATTTAATAATTTGGTAAAAATCTAATGTAAATAGTACATGTTTACAAATTCTTAAATCAGATCTTCGTAGTCAACCCCACTTCCCGGATAAAGCCCAGTACCTTCCCAGGGTCGACATTATTGAATAGTGTTTTTAAATTAGTGGCTCTAAAATATTTCTCCCTGACATCCTGGTATCTGGGGCAGTCGATGAGGATATGTTCCACGGTGAGGCGAGAGTCACAATACTCACAAAGTGGGGGCTCTTCTTTCTTCAGCACAAAAGAGTGCGTGATGTAGGTGTGGCCAATCCTAAGTCTGGACATGTTCGTGCTACCACGCCTTGTCAGACCCTTAGATGTGGACCGCCACCTGACATCCGTCACAATCTGCCTGAGTTTATTGTGAGTCTCAGCCTCCCATCGGTCCTGCCACTCTTGGTAGGTGGTAGAGGCAATACTTTGTCTCAGGTCCGAGCAGGTAATTTGGGTTCCTGACACCGCATGCTTTAGGGCTCTCTTTGCTTCTCTGTCTGCGGCTTCGTTTCCCTCAATGCCACATGGGAGGGGACCCAGATGAAGGTGACATCCCTATGGTCGGCTGTTATTTGGTCCAACGGCTTAAGGCTCTTATGTACCAATGGAATGTCAGTCTTCATCCGCCCCAAAGCTTGCAATGCAGATTTGGAGTCGGAGCCTGCAGAATTGAAGACCGCCGCATCCCCAAACGACTCCTGTAGAGCCAATTAAAGGAAGCAAAGCGTTCATAAGGCGGACAAAGAAAACGCTTTAGGGACACCCTCAAAGCTTCTCTGAAAGCGTTCAGCATAAACCCAGCCAACTGGGAAACAGAAGCACATGATAGAGCACCATGGCGCCGCGTTGTGAAAACTGGCGCACAAATTGCTGAGGAAAAGAGAACAGCGCGGAAGAAGAGAAGCGCCAGAGAAGGAAAGAAAGGGCCAATGACACTAGTGTCAGGTGGGTTTTCCAGCTCGTTGATCTAGAAGTAAACATAAGTGCATGGAATCCCCGGGTTCTCCCCCCTTCCACCTCAACAGTATAAACCAAAGTAAAGAGTAATATTTAAAACTATGGCTTAGTAAACATCGCCTAAATGTCATTCAACTGAACAACAATTGTTCAACACGAACAATATTAATGATAACGATAAATTAACTTAAGGCTATGTGGGACACTAAATTTAGGTAAAAAGATCACAAATTTTTGTAAGGTATATACAGCTGTCTCTTTACCAATTTTGTTTCTTTTTTTTTCGATTTTCTCAAAATACTTTTTTTTATTCATATTTGTTACTACTCCTTCACTAATTCTGCATAGAATTCAATCAAACTTGCCCTGCTTATTACTTACACCATGTACAACAACTTCTTGCTTACATTTTCTAATTCTGAAGTAATATTTTGTCTTAATTGCAATAAAATACTTGAAAAATGAAAAAAAAAATGTTTTTCTATAGCAAGGTTAGAATAAAAATTATTTTAAAAAATGTTTTACTTTATTTAGAAACTAAATGCTAGAAAATGTTCTGGAATGATTGGTCTACACATTGTATATTTTTGTTTGGCATTAGCTTAAATCGTTTTAAAGCCTTAGAGATATAAAAGCGATAGACAAAAATCCAATATGGCGGCCGTTGCCATGACAACCATTATAAGAAAACAATGTTAACCACATTTTTTTATGGCTATTCATAGGGATTATACATATAAAGTTTCGAGTAATTTGATCATTAAATTAAAAAAAAAGTGTGAAGTGTCCCACATAGCCTTAATTAGTTAACAACAAGAGTGTATGTTTAACAATTTAATGAATGAATATTATGACATGAATGATGAATAAATATCAATGGTATCTACAAGGCAAATACATGCTATACATATTATGCCAATGAAATATAGCACACCTTGAGCTCGGTGCCACAATTTGATCAGGGCTCGCGAAGCCCACACACAATCATTCACAATGCCATGGACGCCCTGACCATACCAAAACAAATCATGCTTGACTACATCAGAGTCCCAAGCCTGCGTCCCTAACAAGAAAAATACGCATTCCTTGAACCATTCGCAAGATCATAGGACCAACGAATTTGAAGCTACACCACGAAGAATAAAGTAAAATAAACTAACTTACCCAATAATGGGGAAGAAAACTAAAAAAAAAAGATCCTCCATCAGCACAACCAGAGGCAAAAAAGGAATGGCATCAACATCCTTAGGAACTAGAGCGCAAAAAAAACATTATGATGCACAAAAGAGAAACATCACACAAAAAGCAACTCTAGATGCGCACGACAACGAGCTCCAGCTGGAATAACCTACCCAGTGTGCAGCCGAACATTCCGAGCTCACATAGGTCTCACCTGCCACATGAGGAGGCACAAAACCCCAGTGCATAGCCCTCAGCCCACTGGATGACGAAAGTGGTCATCATCCAACAACGATGGACGAACTATATTATATGTACTGCTCAAAACAAGTTCGTAATGACCGCTAAATTCAAAGTTGAGGCCTTTCTGCAACTTCCTGGAGGTGCTTACACATATTTAGTTAGCAATCTAAAGTTACACCAAGGTACTTGGCTAGCTTCTCCATGCTGAGAGCCACAGATGAGCTTTACATTATCTGCCGCCATAGATCGCGACTTATGAAAGGTGCACCTTACCTTATTTGACTTCACACAATGGCAACAGAAATCCTACTGTGGCTGTAACGGCAAAATATGAATACTAAGGCTGTCTCCAGTTATGCCTGCACTATTATCAATTGTCTGACCTGTTCAGCCTCTACCAAGGTTCATAAAATTCTGAGCTGCACATATGCTATCAGATATAACATCACTGACCCGATTCTTTCTTGGATTTTAACCATATCTCATGTACCCTTATTGGATTATTTATACCTTTTGATTTGCATCATCTACCTAACAGTGGTGCTGCTTATAAGTGAACACGAAATACCAAACAGTGGTACTGCTTATAAGTGAACACAAAATACCAAACAGTGGTACTGCTTATAAGTGAACACAAAATACCAAACAGTGGTACTGCTTATAAGTGAACACAAAATCTTTTGTATGTGTGTGTGTTGTAATTTGTTTTGTTTGCAATAGTAATTATACTAATAGTCTTGTGGAAATCTAGTCAGCAGTTCTACTAAAAGTTAAGCTTAGGTCTATGTATCTGCATGTTTAATGCAGTGTAGGAGAACACAATCTTGGACTGCAATTACAGAAAGTGGGAGATTGTATGTGTGTAAACAAACATGTGGGATATAATAATAATAATAGTCTTTATTGTCCGTATGGAAATTTGTCTTACAATTTGTGCATTACACCAAACAAAAAACATTACAACTATAAGAAACCAAAGTGTACATTCACACCAGATTCACTCATTATTTACATGTGACAAAGTTTATATCAGATTGTTCTTATTTAATTGCCAGGGGAAAAAAAAGAGTGTTTGTTTGTCTTTGCCATCAGTGTCTTGTATCTCTTTTGTGATGATAAAATCACAAAATCCTGACACAAAGAGTGATTCTTTATTTTGAGGATCTTGTTATCTTTTTTATAGATGTTTGTCTCAAACAACTGCCTATCTCACAGCCGTAACCAAACGTATCATATTGGTAGCTTAGCAATGGTTTTGTATGGTACTGTAGCAATGTTTTCAGGTTTTTATGTCTTCTTCAAAATGTCTGTAAAGAAGCCAGCACATTCTAACTGTTGTATATGAACATGCCTCACATAGAGAAAGACTAGATCACTAAGAATTAGTGAGAGTTTATAAAAGTGAATTTCATTTCCTCTACTGTCTCTGTGATCAAGGTCAAATTTTCTTATCATAATATCAAAACTAGTCCAATTAGAATTATTTTGTATTGTGATGTGATTAATTTTAGACCTACAATTGAAATAATTTTCAAGAAGTAATATTAAACAGAAATAAATTCTGAACATACATTTTGAGTTGATGTAGAACTATTTTAATAAACATTGTCAAATTAAGCCTTCTTAAGCCAATGTGCCATGCAAAGAACAGTAATGACAATTGTGACATATGACTGTACAATCAATGAATGAATAAACAGCAAATGTAATGCCCAGTTATGTACATCCTAAAGCAGTGTTTCTCAGACTGTACACAAACTAAAACAATGGCTATCGTTTTGAAGCCAGACTCTAATCAACTTAATTGTTTTTTGCTAATATAGATAAACTTTTATCAATCCACTATTCACAAAAAAAAATAAAAAAATAAAAATGGCAAATTTAATGTATGGTACTAATTAATAATCACTATTTGTTTTGTAGCATAACTCAATTTAGTATAACTATTTGCAGTCCATCATTAAATTGCAGACCATGACATTACTTAAGAGAAATGCATGCCCTTTTAATTTATGACATGCATAAAAAATCTAATAAATTTTGGATAATGAAAATTAAAAATGAAAACTTCTAGTGGATCTAAATCTAGACTAGATTTAGGAAATATCTTATGTTCCAATTTGAAAAAAAAAAAATTAAATTTGAAAACACAAAATGATTAAATTAAGTTGATTACTATGTCACAGAAAAATCAACCTAAGGAAAAAAGAGGATTTAAAAACCCGTTTAAACAATTCACTCAGTAAAAACATGTTAAAAGGGAGAAAAATCTGGATGTTTTACATAGGGAACCTATACAAGATTCAATTTTAAGCAATTAAAAACAGTTTGGAAGAAAATAAAATAAAACTAATGACTTTTAAAGCTTCAACGATTCAATTTTAAGCAATTAAAAACGACAGAAGCATTGCTTGAAGGTAGAAAAATCATGAGAGATTTTCCTTTCATAATGATCTGCAATGCTTAGTTTAGGTTCTTCCAAAATTATACAACAAGCTTTTATTTCATAAATGGTTAGCTAATCAGATGTGAGAAACACTGACTTCAGACATTAATAAACATAAAGGAACAGTAGAAAACATATTTAACAAAAAATGCAAAATATCACATTTAAAGTCTAGTCCCCTTTCCAATATCTTGTGAGAAAAGACATTTATAGTTGGTTGTAACAAGAGCTTGATCCACAACTGAAATACAAACCAAAAGAACTAAATAAATAGCCATGTTGAAATCACATTTCAAACCAGAGTCAACATATATGCAAGAAGACTATTTCTTTAACCCCAACATCAGTACCAAGAACATGATGGTAGAAAAAGCTAAAACTAATTGTCCCTGAAATTGTCTCTAACTTGATGGAAGTGTAGTAACATTGCACACTGTGTTTTTAGTTTCTATTTACAAATCTATAGTCTTCTAATTTCAAACTGATAAAAAAAGGTGAAGTGATGTTTGCTAGGGTTCCATTTAAAAGTGATATTTCAACTTGAAGTTTTAGTTCCCACTTTTTGAAGATGTTTGTGAAGAAACTAAAATGGAGAACTCTAAGCTTCACTTTTTCTCTCTGGAATTATTTCCCACATTCTGATTCACTTTTCTCACAACCTGGTTAGGATTAAACTTCAGTCACTTTTTGGTTTATTGGAAAGTATTACATTTGATAGAGAATTTAAAGAAGATGTCACTGAAAACATTATTTGTAGGTCTTTACACTAATTAATAACACTAAGTCATTTGAAAGTTAAACTTGAAAAAGTTTAACTGACCAAACTGGGATCAACTTAAAAGTAAAAATAAGATTATTCACAACTGGTGTTAAATAAATCCAATCTCAACCTAGAGTCCAGAGTGTCTATAAAAAAAACTTGGTCTGAAATCTTCTCTCCCTACCAAAGCTTCTGGAATGCACTGTGTATGTGCAGATTCTTTCCCATCTTGAATGAACTGTCTCTAGGAAAAATTTAAATCAGCATACAGGAAGTGCCTTAATTAGGATTGGCACTTGAAACAACATGACAAAAGAAGAGAGTAAAGATTCCCTGTTCATCATGAACTGCCAGGTTCTTTTTGTTTGCAATCTAAAAAGTTTTCTTTCACTCAACTCTGTCTTTGACGCACACATAAGTCAGCTCTGTAAGGGTCTCTATCTGCAGCTGCCCAGATCTGACCATATTTGATGTTAAAATAAACAAAAAAGCTAGCTGTGGCATTTATGCTCTGCTGCCTTGACTACGCCGAGCTAGCAGGTATACGCCGAGCTAGCAGGTATACGCCGAGCTAGCAGGTATACGCAAATAATCCTACGAAAAACAAGATGTTATACTGCTACTGCTCTCTTGTGTACATTCAATAGGCTTCCTGTGATTGCAAGAATCAACTACAAGGCACTTAGTCATCAATGCATCGACAACAAAGAAATGCTCTAGCCCTTTGGCAAACTAATCACTGTATGTCCCTCAGAGATCCTGCATTCCATGGACTCAAAGCTTCCTGTTGTGCCACGTTTCTCCCTTAATAGTTACAGTTTGCAGGCTTGTTCAGTGCATGAGCCAAGGCTTTGGAACTCACTACCATTGATCTTAAGAAATGTTTCACTACATTCAAGAAGAACCTTAAGACCTATCTGTTTTTTTAGATTTGTTTGTCATTTGAACTCTGTGTTTCTGTTTGTAACTATAGCGCTTTGAGCCTACATTGTTTGTTAACAGCAATCATGAATTAAATTATTACATAAACTAAACAAATTTAAGAGAAATAATTCAAACGCATACGTGAAATCCAATCCGTGCTACGCAGGGTTCTTGACAACATTCAATTTTCTTTTTTTGTGAAGCTTTTTTAGAACTTTATCAATTTTTAACTGACTTATTGATTTCTGAAAGCAAGAAAACATTTTATTTTAATTGCATACACATTTTAAAAAGTTTCTTTTGTAAATGAAAGAATTAATATGATGTGGTTATATGTTAATAATTATGAATAAAACATTTTGTGAAATTTAACTGAAATTTTAACTGCACAAATCTATTCTATTTTAGAAATATATTTCATAAAGAAAATGTGATGTCAAAGCTCAAGCCTTCTGCAAAATGCAAGGAGAGTATGGGTTTGAATGAAGGACTAATGTTTTCTCAAAATACTATGAGTACATGTACTATTGGAGTCATCAATTAAGTATTTATGCATTATTTCTATTGACTAACCTATGTAGTCTATTAATTAGCCATGTTACTGAGCAACAAAAACATTAAGAATAAAAACATTAAAAACTTACCAAATTAGTAACGTCTGTACTCAAGCCTGATTGTGTTGCTGTAAGTCTATGTGGTAATTCACTAGTTAATAGATCTGTAAGTTGCTGCTGATCATTTGATGCCTGAGCGTTGCTTGCTATTGATTTAGAGAGATCCAAAGTTTGGCAAGCAGAATGTGAATCATCTTCCAAATCTTTATTGCTCTGAAAAGTTTCCATTGACAACCTTTTCTTGGGTGGAAGATGTTTTTTCACAGGGGATGATATAGTAATGCATGAGGTCAATAAATCTTGTGGGTTTGTTTGACTGTAAAGTGGTAGAGATGAGTTAGCCATATCAACAACTCTAGGATTGGTACCAACAGTGCAACTCTCAGTTTTCAGAATGGAAGAACTTGCTGAGACAGCAATTTTATTTTCCTTTATATTTTTAGTAGGATTAGTTGCTTTCTTAGCCTGACTTACTTTGCTTTGTATTTTCTCAGACAAGTTATTGCATTTTTCTTCTAGGATTTTTGTTTTGGGTTCACTTTGTGAATGTTGGGGTTTACGGTGATGTTTTGAGTCAAGAACTTGGGGTTTATCTCGAGACTGATGGACTTGAAGGATTTTGAGTTGATCTTGTTGATGGACTAGGGGCTCAATTTGTTTTTTTTCAGAATGAAGGATTTTAGTTAGGACTTTAGGTTGATCTTGAGCTGAATGAACTTTGGGCTTGTCTTGTGAAAGATTTACCTTGCACTTATCTACAGAATGTTGGACTTTAGTGTCACCTTGAGAAGGAGGGACTTGAGATTTTTCTTGTGTTTGAAAGACTTGTTGTAAATGTGGCATATTGAAAGTACCAACATAGACAAGTGGACCTTTTCCTTTAGCACTCAGATTATGTACTTTAAAGTCTGAACTAATTGTAGCTTTTTCTTTAGGGTGACATTTCTCATTTCCTTCTCGAGAGTTTGTATGTGAATTTTTAGATGAAAGATCCTTACCCAGGCTTACATTTTTTGAATTCACGTGTTCATGAGACGTGAAATTCAGGTGTTTTTTATTAACTCGATCAGATGATTGCGTCTTTAAATTTACATTTTCTCTCCTAGGAGAGATGTTCTTTGTCTTCTTGTCTTGTTTTTTTTCTGTTAAAACTATTTCACTTTCTAATTTATCATGGTCCAATATTACTTCCCTAGTGATATGTTGTGATTTCTTAGAACTTCTGTGGAGTTTGTCTTTGTCCAATTCATCTTTGATCTTTAGTTCATGTTTGGTTTCAAGGGAATGTCTATGCTCAGTTGCTTTTTCTTTACTTTTTCTTGAAACATTTTTGTGCTTGTCCTGACTGGCTTTTATTTCCGAATGTTTATTATTCCTGACTTTGTTTGCAGCTGGTGTAATGAGGGAAGGTGACAATGGTTCTGTTCTTCGTTTCTTGTTACTTTCTGTGTTTTTCTCTAAGGACTTTTTTCTCTTTTTGCTGGTATTTGGTTGATCTTGTGCTTTTGTGAGATTTCCTTCTGGTGAATGTTGATACTTTGTTGGTGAATTGAGAGACTTAATGAAATTATATTTATGTTTGGACAGCAGAGCAACATCTGTATCAGATTTTACAATGTCTTGAGAGTGTTGATGAACATCAGCTATAGAAGAAGTTGTCACATCCTGAACTGAATCAGTTGCAGAGTTTTCATGGGACATTTTCTCTGTACTTTTATTTTCAACAGCATCTTTCTTACACAATACCTCTCTTTGATCAACTTTGGACTTTTGATTGACACTATCAGCTTTATTTGTACTCACTTTAGTGCTTTTATCAATTTCTGTCTGATTTTTTATTAAATTTTCTTTACAAGATGATTTCTTACTTGACCTAGATGCAGTTTCACTTTTGACTGTATGTGTTACAATGCTACTAGCTTTAACAGACATAGTCAAATCAATGGGATTAATAGATGTATTGTCAGCAGCAATTATATGTTTTTCAATTTTTTTTCTTCTAGAAGATTTCTTTCCAGAGCCCTGTCCTTTAGTTAGTGAACCAGTCACTAATGGGGACTGCGATGCATTACTGATACCTTGATTAGTAATACCAACTTCCCCTAGCAATGACTGAAAGAGTGCACTGTATTCAGGTGGTAGTGTTATAACTGATCTGTTGTTAGATTCAACCACCTGAATTGGGCTAGCACAAGTCAGGGCAGAACTTTCTAACCTCAAGGCTGGAGATGGTTGAGCTGGTAGAATAGCTGGAAAGTTAAATGCCTGATTTAATAAAAGTAATTTCTCTGTCTCAGTAGTAGAAGAAAGTTTAGGCAAAATTTTGGCTGGTTTATGGCTGCCAGGAGACAGCTTTGACAACAGCTTTTTATCGCTAGAGCGACTCTTTCTATCAGAGGTATGACTTTTTCTGTTGGTAGACAGTTTATTTTCACCTTTCCCCCCTACTTGAATATTTTCATTTGAAAGTTTATCTCTACAGGAAACAAGAACATCTTGTTTCAATGATGTAGATAAAGCTGTTTGATGATTTTCTATTGTTGGTTCAGTAATATTGCTGATTTCAGCAGTGGGTAATTGA